TTATTCAAGACAAAATCGTTACACTTTGCCTTGGGGGACACGACTGAAGGCTAAATAAACGCCCGACTAGGTCGTGTCACCCTGGCAGCAAAAGCATAGACACACCAACAAGCATTTGTCGTACAGAATACACTGGTACATAATCATCCAAAATGATTTCAGGAATAAAGAAAATTATAAGTTCACAAATATATAAGCACAGCTGTCTTAAAGCGATATTGATGCAACGAATGTGTACTCATATTGAGCCACAAACAAAAGAAAGAAAATAAAAATATCCTCTCGCCGCTATTGTGAGAGAAATGCTCATTAGGTTTTCTGTGCCGAAATCTATGCAGTGCTTCCTCCGATGTGCGCAAACTGGCTTATCTTGCTCTAATCCGTCCTCAACTGGAGTTCGCATCCTCCATTTGGTCACCATATCAACAATACCTCATAGATAAGTTAGAATGTATACAGAACAGAGCTAGTCGATTCATAGCGCGTAATCACAGCTACCCGTCCAGCGTAACACAGATTAAACATAGCCTTGCATTCGAGCCACTGAAAATTCGCCGCGACATCTCACTTTTATCATTATTTCACAAACTCATCCACACCAGCATGATGCCATCTGTTCACCTTAATCTAGTACATCGAACTTCGAGCAGACAACATAACACCTTTAGCTTATCACGCATGTACGGCAATACTAACGCTTTCAACCAGTCGGCTCTTCCACGAGCTATTCGTTTGTGGAATGATTTGCCAGATGATCTTGCGTCAGAACAAGACCACACAAAGTTCTATCATACTCTTAAAAAATACTTATGCACCAAAAACTGCTCTATCGCATCTTCGTAACCATCAGTGTTTATAGGACTGTTGCCGATGTTTTTGCACTATTGCTAGGTTGTAGTTACTGTCATAATAGTTTTTTTTTTGTATTTCACCTTCACATACTGTAACTCACTTTTCTAGTATGTATTTTGCTTACATGTTCATAAGTTGAACTGCATTTTCTATTACATTCATTATTTGCATATGTATGTGTAGATATTATGTATATATATTTTGCTAACATATTATCTGTACCGCCTCCCTTACCAATGCCCCTCGAGGGCTCTGTAAGGTACTGTAAATAAATAAATAAATATAATCAACATTCACTAGAAAACAAAACCGATATGACTGGGCACGCTTATGCACATAAGGAGAAACCTGCGAACGTACCGATCAGAAATTTTTAAAAGAAAGAGGTTATCTGTAATTTATACATGTCGTTACAAAATTTAATGAACAATCTGGTGTTCTTTGGCTTGCACTGGTCGTCACACAGTGCACGTGCCTCCACCATTTTCGCCTCCACCGAGATACGACCACCGCGGACAGGACTGAACACACGACTGTCGGGTCAGTATACTGACCCGATACACCACCGCGACTGTGGCTACTAGATCACCGGGAGGATTTTCGATGGGCGAGCCGGGCTAGCACGAAAGCACGTTGTATGTGTCATGAGACAGCGGTACGCGCCACTTGCGCTTCTCCTTAGCAAAATAAGACGACAGAACTTCGGCGACAATCGCAATGATCGTGCGAGAGCCGGAGAACGAGGGGAGAGGACGCTTATTTCTTACATAATTGGCACGTTTTTCTTGATCGCTGATAGCACCGCCTCCTGTGACTGGAGTACTTAAGCACTTAGGGGCTATTAGCGGCGTTTGTGTTGCTTATTTGTCTTAATTTCGCTAATTACCGCGGCCGAACGGCTAATCTGCGCACACATCATAATTTATCAGACAGTCACTCGTTAAGCATGTAAAAGGGCTCGAGCAGGACAGACCGGCTGTCGATCCGTCAAAAGCAGCTATAGGTTAGGTAACTCGCTACCCTGGACGGGCTTAAAGGGGACCATAACCCCGAAATTGCTCACGAGCTTGAGCCAAATGCAACTTGTTATAGTTTACTTTGTGTAACTGGTTATATGTAACGACTGCTCACCTAGTTGATGCTATGGGACGTTAACGAAGTTGCAGATCGGGCTAGTGTTGGCGTCGCATGATGCAATATTCTGGCGCGATAACAGGAGCCAGGACAAGTGAAAAACAAAAACAATAAAGACAGCATCGCACTAGTACGTGTGCCAAGCCTGAAGGAAGTGCGCAGCTGTGCATCCTTCTTTGTTTCTCTTTGGTTTTATCTTTTCTTCTTCTTCTCTTCCCTTTCCCTTTTTGTCTTTTTCTCCTTTTATTTCTGTTTATGTCTTCCTCTCACTTTAGCTATTTCTTTTTCCTTCTTGCTGTTATACGCTTCTTGTTATTTTTCTCTCTCTTTCTCTTTCAAGTTTGCTTTCTTTTTTTTTTCTAAGCAAGGTGTGGTAGCGGGCTAGTTAGTATTCCATGTTTTTTACAGCTGAAGTGCTCAGTAAAGGCAGACAAAGGACGAAGGGGACAACGAGGACAAACGCTGACTTGCAATTAAAGATTTATTGCAAATCACCAAGAATGTGTACCTGTCACATGGCACCACAATCATATCAATCAATGCACAAAAATGACAAAATAAAACTAAGCCTTTACGTCTATTTTTATACGTGTTTTTTTTTCGCTGCTGCTGCTGCTGCTGCCGCTGATTAGAGATTCTCATTAAGGTGCTCGAAGAATGACAGCAAGAAGACTTTTTTTAAATGCGAACGCGTGCTCCATATGCTACACACGGAGCGTTTCGTCAAGTGACGACGACTGCATACTACAGCATACGGCAGCATACGACAGCGTTACATAAACCCGGTCCCCTAAAGCGCTGCGCACTTCAAGTACAAGCGCTTGAAACGCACGTCAAATTAAGAAACCTTCAGTTAAAAATTAGCGTCTGTCTCGGATCCCTTAACTATACGGCGTTCCTCCCCACTACATCGTGCTTTTCGTAAGATCCCACAGATTATTACATTACTGTCAAAATCAGGCCCAAGAAATATGGAGACAAAAAGAAGAAGCGAAGACAACATACATTCCGTTCATGTTGTTTACGGCTCTTCCTTTTGTCTCCGTACTTTTTGGCACTGAGATTTCGAAGGTAAGCATCTTTACCAACCCACCCAACTCGCCGCACTCATCAGTCTTACACTACTGTCCTCCAACGTTTATGTCGGCGCTGCTGAACATTCAATATTATCGCGACGTGAAGACCGAGGTCATAAACTGCGAAAGCAGCAGCAGGTCGATCTTTTTATTTACCACACGTCAGAAAGTTTCTATAGTCTTTCTCGTTGTTGCTTTCTGCATAAAAGCGTGCAAATGCGCGTATGCAATGTCGCCTTCGTCTTTCTCGCAGGACGCACGTGACAATATGATGCTCAGTTTTTGACGATGCGACAATGCGGCACGTACTGGATGCGCCGGAACTGATGACGTATGCACCGAGGTCAGCGCATTTTGCGGTATCTCTTGGATGTCGGTCGTTCACATCGTAACCATAACGGGTACAGTGCCCAGTATATAAAGAGTAGAGCAGTATGCATCAGTAGTAGACCAGCAGTAGTAGAGTAGTATAGTAAGAGCAGCATAGTAAAGTCCAGTGTGATCACAGAGAGTGTGATCACGAAAGACTGTGTGTATACCCTGGCGCACAGATGCCGAAGAGAGTGCACACACGTACCGCGGTATGCTCCAGATCACCCGAATCTCTCGTAGTCGGCGATTCGTGTCGATTTTCCCGCAGTCCTTTCGGATGCGGGTCGAGCGAGATAGGGGCGCGTGCTGCTGCGCCCAGGCGGATTCGGATGCCCCACCAAATAAAACTCGGCCTGGAGACTAGGGCTATCGCTCCTATAGTGCCGTCGCCCAACGGGACGTCCGTCGCGGAGGAAGTCGAAGGGGCGTCGGCCCGCTGCCGGTTCGCGACACCGTTCTTTTTTGTTTTTCGAGCCCCAAGAAACAGATACAGGGATCCTCTTGCCTTCATAGAGCTGTAGACAACACATTTGAGATGAAGCATTGGGGCGGGAAAAGGAAGCGAATGAAAAAAAGCCGCTGTCCCGGTTCTTTCCGTTTGTGCTTCCGGTCACGGGCCTTCAAAACTCTGTTCTGCGCAGTGGCAAAGTCATAGGGGGGGTGTTGTGTGAAAGTTTAAGGGACTTGTGTGCCCCCTCCCTCCACCGAAAATTTCAAAAGAAATATATATAATTGCAGAGAATAACTTCTTGGAGGCTGACAGGAAATATAATTAAAAAAAGACACATATAAAAACACAATGTTCTTTTTACGTTTCGGCCAGGGGAGGGGTGTGTGAAAGTTTAAGGGACTTATGTGCCCCCTCCCTCCACCGAAAAATTTCAAATTTCTATATATACGTTTCAGCCAGGAGACTGGCCCATTTGCATGATCTTCGTCAGCTCTAGTGGTCTTAAGAAAACAACGTGTTCATCACGACATGACCGGAGGCACTAAAGGTTGACGGAACTAAAAGACATAAACGACATTGAGATGTCATCATCGGTGGCATTGCTTTTCAGTATATATTTCGGGACTCACACTCAGCCTTTCGTAGCTGTATGCAGAGTGAGAGTATGCATCCACAAACTCGTCTCCCGTACGTCGACTACCATTATAATGGCACGTATAAACACGAGCCACAATTCAATGACTACTTTCGAAACCTTCTTGGAATCCTTGCGAAACGACAGCAAGACTTGAGATCGCACATCAACAATACAAATCCTGCGCAAATATATACACGGTCTGATTTCGCTGTGCAGTGGTCGTAGCTGCACCTCCGTCTATGACGCCAGAGCACGTATGAAGTACAACCAGTTGCGTACTGATGACTCTATTGTATACGTTAGAAGCCTGCTGATTTTGAGCGCCAGTCCGCGTATACTGCTGTCACCTTGGGCTGCCTGATGTGGTGCCTCTCGACAACAACGAACAGGTGACGTTGCACGTCCATAGAAATGACTACAGCGAAGTTTTTCCGACAAGGGACCGCAAATAGCCCAGCAGGAGTCAAACAAAGCTTACCTTCAGGAAGGCTCTCCTCGGGAGCAGCTTGTAATGGAAAACAGCAAACGAACAGTTCAACGGATAGCTCAAAACGAGCAAGAACACAAGTGTTCAAAGGAAACACTAAATGAACCGTTATGTGGCACAGTAAAAAAATACGTTTAGGCTAATGATTGTTCCCCGTGTCAAACAGATGCAATAAAAACCATTCTGTGTTTTAAGGCGTCGAGTTCCTAAAGGGCATTTAAGTCCTGAATATCAATGTGGCGCCATGATTTAATCTTTTTTTCTGTCGTCTTCTGTCTAGATTGCTTCCATAAGATATTCAGAAACTTGCTACGCTTGGAAGCGATTTTCTAAAGCGAGTTGATGCATTTTTATCAATGAATAGTTACGTAGGCCTTAGCAGACATCGTTAAAAATTTCTCACGTAATGGCTAGCTATAATGCCGGAACCTCAAAGAGTCGTCGCACTTGTATTTCCCTGGCTGAGCGTTTTCTGGCTCACCAAGCATCTTCCAGAAGCAAGACTACAGTGATTTTTGTATTATGAAAAAAGTGTTTACACATGGGAACGAAAAGTATCTCTTTCTTTAACTTGGTTGTTTGGGCTATGTTCTTTTGTTTTTGCTATTGTGTTTGACAAATTGTGGCGTAATCTACCTGTTCTAGTATGACACATTACCCGGGACCCCTCGAAGCTCTTTCTAAAAGCGCAGTCGACACAGTGAAGTAGAGACTGCGTCACTAAAATCGCTTGTTGGAATCTCATGGCGGCTTTCCCCTTAAACGCACCCCAAGGCTGTCACTATATCGTTCGCACTTGGGATTCGTCGGTGTATCTATTAAGACACGCGTCGCATAACCGCCGGGGCCGCGACGGCGGTGAAGTCTTCCACGACACCCTCGTCCGAGTAGGCTAAAGAAAAAAGAGCTACAAACAAAGCAAGACAAAGCCGGATGTCCCACACGTGCGAGGCAGTGCGTAACATCGTGGAGGCGTGCACACTCACATCTGACGACGTCCGGTGGAAGCTCCTCGGGTATGTTCTCGCGGATTATCATTTCGTGACGGCGCTGGCGACCTGTGGGGGGAAAAAATAACATATACAGGAGACCGACGTCAAGGCGCAGACGGGCGAGATGAAAGTCGCCATAAATCGCTTATTTACGCCAGAGCCGGCAATTCGATATCATTATCTTCAAGTTTTAACGACCTACTCCGCGATAGCTGCGAAGGCCACGAGAAAAGGATAAGGAAGCGTGCTGCGTGACAGTACTTCTTGCAGACGGCTCTGTCATCTGAAGGTCACGTGTGAAGACCAGGAGTGTGGGCAGGGGGTGCCAAAGGGGCATCCAGATATTGGCTACGCGACGCCTCACGCGTGTCTGCTACCCTCAATACAACAAAGTCCTGCTCACGCCCATGGTGAAAACTGTGGCGTCTTGAAGTTAGCCTACTCCGCTAGCCATCGTATCATCGTCCAGGCAGTTTGTCGCCAAGTGCCAATGCTTGTCGGTTCACGTCCGAGGCGACGTTTCTTGCGTTTTCACGCCCGATCACTCGAAGTCTCTTCGTATTGAATTAGAACTCTCAGTGCTTTTTTCGTTTATTTTATTATTTCACTTTCATACTGCGATTCCCTCGCGTTTACTGTTCATTTTATTACTGTAGGCTTGTGAAAACATTGTCGTGTTGTGTGAAAACCCTTACCTAATGCTTTTTTCGGCATTAAGTAAAGAGTGCGTTAAGGTTCATTTCTATTTCTTTATCTGTTATTATCTCGTCACGACAAGCTATTACGTGTTGGCTTTAAAGCTCTCGCTGTAAAGTGGTTTTTTTTTTGTAAGTTTCGGCAAGTGAATCCATCGCGTTGCGCAAGGCGCCACTCGTGTGATGCTAAACTGTGATAACATTGTGCGTGGTCACCAGTGAGTGCGTCTTATTTGTCTACTGGCGTTCATTTACTATTGAGCACGTACGTATTGCAAAACATCGATAATGTATAACATCTACAACATCGATAGCTTTCGAGTAACACTTGAATGCAGTAGTAGCTAGGTGAACAGATGTTAGCATTAAGATGGCTTCGCGGTGAGAAACGACCCTCAAGACCGTTAGTGTCAGAGGACGCCATGGAGGTTTACGTTTAACTGGGTGTGGAATCGGCACGCCATGGTTGACGGTGCATACGCCAGCGCCACTTGATTCTGCACACCATATAAACAAGAATGCCGAGCGCTTCAAGTGTGTGTAATTTGGTCATTGTCAGCCAATCGTAAACTATACAGTTTCAACTATTATCCCGAAAAGTGCTGATGTAATGGCCCAATCGAACGTCCGGCCATAAACAACATTACAGTGCTTAGCTGTTTCTGGTCTTATTAAAGTGTCGAAAACGCCAAACGCAAACATTAAACTTACTGTCTGGCACTGAACATGATCAATAATTAAGAATGATTGCATCGTTATCTTTATTTTGTATTATTGCTAATATAGTATAAAGAAATGTTAGCTCACAATTTAAGGCACCAGCTATGCTTCGGTCTTGAGGGCGTCGGGCTTACAACATATAACACTACAGATCAAGCAACGTTCTCGCAGTAACATCAGGTACCTTATTCAGGCATACCGGCGTCACGTGAAACGCAACCAGCGGCAAGAATGAAAAACGCTAGCATGCACCGTCCGGTCACTAACGGTGACAGGCGCGCAGTGCTCTAGTTTTGCAGCACTGCGCATATGCCCGTGGTGAAGAGTGGCCGCGCACCTATACCACTGCTAATGCATGCCGCTGTTCGCATTTCATTTGACGCCGATAGTGTGAACAGCGGTGATCACTGTTAGGGTTAACAGGCTTAACACTCAAGCGCGTGGACGGACGGCACTTTCTTAGCCGCCTTCTTTAGAAATACTGCACATGCGCAGCATGTGCGATGTGCTCTTTCCGCCGCGCTCACCACGTAATGAATACGCTTGTTCGTCATCTGACCGCCCCGTTTTTGTCCGCAAAGCTGATGCATCCTGAATTTCAACTTATTTCCTTCTTTGTAGTATCTCTTACTAAATAGCTCATACGTTAACTATTTTACATTGATCTTGCATTCGCCCCCCCCCCCTTTTTTTTTAATCAATGTTAACCTTGAATTGCAGGAAGCGCCAGCTTAGCTGCCAAAAATGCGGCTTGCAGATGACGAACCAGCGTATTCATGACGTTGGGTGCGCGGTGTATCGAAGAGCGCGTGCAGTGTTTCCGACAATTACGCGGCGCTGGCCGTGCTGTCGGCCACGCATCCTTGCAGTGATCACGGCTTTACGTGTGGAACAAAGTCTTCGCACGGACACTGTGACGATTCAGGTTTCACACTTTACTTTTACAGCTTTCGCTGCTTGCGTGACATTAATAAGTTCGTTACGTGAAACACTGGATGATACTGTGTGTGTGTTTTGTTGTTGTGTGTTGCCACTTAACTATAGTAAAAGTTTTACACTCAAGCACACGTTACTCACGTCGAGAAACACTAAAGCACAACTGTGGTAAATAAAAATAACGCGCATGCCAAAGAAAAGTACACACGCACATGCACACAGGCTAATCGCGAGCGGCAGCCTATAAGCAGACATGCATAACAGGAACTTCCTACCTTCTTGCGAGTCGTCCGCTTCAGGGGTGGTCACCGCTTCAAGGACACGAATTGCATGTATTAGTGCATGGCCAGTGGCAAGACAAGCACTCGCTATAGAGCCAAGTGATAAAAAAAAAGAGGCTAGGGTATTAGGTATCAAAAGTAACAGCGTTGTGATAACCGCAGTACTGAGGAAACCTATTACATTCGACCACATGGGGTTTATTAAAATGCGCCTTAATCGAAGTTCATTTCGGATTTCGTGGGGCAAATGTCAGTGATTAACGAACCTCGTTATCAGAAATAAAAGGGGGGGGGGTGGAACGAATCGACGTGTAAAACTTGCAGCAAAGCCGATAAGAAATGAAGGTTCATATTGAAATGGCAATGCACGGTGAAGACCAGGAGACAATGTGTATATGCTGACCTATCAGGTGCCATACCACTGTTCATTGTACTAAATACAAGTGGTCGAATAAAATAAATTAGTTGAAGGAGAGAGGGAGAGAGATAACGATCTGTGACGGAATTCCCGAATACGTTAGCCTGGTTTATCACCTTGCTTGCTATTCCGGCTGTCGGGTGATCACTGCTTATGCTATGTATAATGATAACAAGCGTATGTACATACAATAATAATTCATGAATCCAAGTTAAGTCGAATAGTCCTCGAAAACATCAACAGTGCTTTTGTACTCCACTGGTCCCTTTGGTGTTTGAGAAAAAGTCATCAAATTTCCTCCGTCGCTGGATATCACCTTAATTACACGACTACACATGGCATTATTTACTAAATAACTGCTTCCGAGAGGAGTTGTCTGTCTGCCGCCGTTACACAGACGGTGTGATACAATACTCACCGTAGACGGTTAAAATGGACAGCTAAATGGACGGCGGCCATCTTAAGTCCCATTCCAATTCTCACGTAGCCGGCAAAGTAGACAGCTCCGAGAAGACCGCATCGTAGACAAATACGATGCAGGCTACTTTGCTGTCTAAACAAGATGGCGGCTCAGCGAATCGCTCAGAAAGATCGGATCTCGCTGGAATTGTCGTCTGCACTCAAGCAGACGCTTCCACAGACGCTCATTGTGAGTAACGTTTATTTGTTTTTGCTTTCAACAGTAAATAGGTCAGAAAATAAACTGTTACGTTTGCTTATTTTAGCTTTTTCTTTTCGACGCGAGGTGGCGCATCGTCGCGTAAAAGCCGTCCAGACGTGTTCCGATTCTCGGACAGCATGGGCTCGGTGCTGTCTTCTAAGCAGTCTGCCCTAGACTTTCTACGTGCTGTCTAAGAATTGGAACACAGTCATAGCAAAGCACACCACCAACGCCATAGAAACGTTTCTGTTCCTGCCTATGCAACGTTTCTTTAAAATTTGAAAGGTCCGCCACCCAAAGCCAATGTGTCGACACGATATGAGCGGGTATTGGCTGTTTCGTGCAGCGGAAACGCTGTACTCAAGATTCTCGTAGAAAAAAAAAAAAACTCGGGCTCTTAGTGAATGATAACAGTAAAGCACAAAGGAATGAAAGAAATAAGCGTGATAAAAGAATACGGAGGAACAACTCGTGACTCTCCACGGTTCGACACATTCTGAAACGCTGACAGTGTTGCAAGGAGTCTCAGCATAATGTCAGACTGGCCTGCCGTCTTCTGCTAGCTCTATGGTTTCCGTAGTAAACGACGTGGCAGGTCGAGAATGCGCACGCAAAAGGTGTATATACGCAGGCAGGCGCGAACGCTCTTAATAAGTTATTTTACTCGACCTTCCGCTTTCCGTACAGTGAATCATATGGCACCTTATAGAGCAGCATCTATAAAGGGCAACGTCGAGAAGGCGTCGAATACTAAGCCGTAAGAACCTAAGTAATTGAATCAACGAGGCAGACTACAAATATTACAAAATTCAGGAAATGATCTAACATGTGATGACTGTATTTATAGTATTCTTTGCTTTGCACATTGCGTTTCAGTTTGCATGTATTTGAATATATGCTGAATGTGCTAATCACAGTGCGTTTTGTATTTCTCAAAAAGGAACAGCTTTTCTTGCATCTTTGTCGTATATTTGTCTTATTGCTGTACTATTCATACACGCTTGATGTCGGGAAGGGAATCGCGTTAATATAAGTAACAAAGTGTTTTAGAACGTAAAAAAAACCAGGCGTCACGCAATGCAAATTACGTGACGACTGGGTCGTCCAATGCTCAGACCCATTACAAAAGCTTGTTCTTAATACCCTATCAACTGTGGCGCATACCCACTGCCGGCACATTTCTTCTTCGTCGTCAGCCACCGCATAAAAAAAAATCGCACAAAATTTCCAACAAGTGTGCAGCGGTTACGACGCTTCTCCAAAGAATGACGAAAGAATAGTGAATGCTAGCCTACAACACAAAATTTATGATTGCTTATAGCGCAGTCGATACCCAGCAGTGTGCGTGTAGCATCACAAAGAGTGTTTAGAAAAAGGCCCTCAAAGACTGCTCTTCTATAGCTTTCGCAGTGACTGTGCTGCGCGTTCCGTGCAGGTCTGGCGTTTTCATTATGCCGCGGAAACGTATTACAAAGTAAACAAAGCTGACTAGTGCTTTGAAGAATGTTGTCACGGTCTCGAAACATCAGTTCCAGTGCGGCGACTGTAACTTTAATGACAGCGTGAAGTTCAACGTGACTGTTCTGCTGAGCTAGTAGTGTTGTAGGTCGACAGTTGTGCTAAGAGTTCAGAGCAAAATTAAAATGCCGTGCCGTAGTGTAAGTGTTCCACATATGGCCTCTCCAAAGCTGTCGAACAGCAGGAGACGCAGGAAAGAAGCTTGGCATTTGACACTTCGTCTAAATGTGAACAGGTACTAGAACCTGTTAGCCACAATTTAAAAAAAATGATTTCGCTCTTAGTGTATACTATAAACAACACTAGCTCCTTGTTTTGGCGCACATTATTATAAAAGGTCAGCTTGCCGAGCACGTTCTTAGAAATCTAGCCTGTGTGTCGGGTCCGTTCTAGAAGCGGCACACTACGCGAGCTTTTGGGGACGGTTTTAAAGGTTACAAAGCACCATTTAGTCACGAATGACAATACTTTTAAATTCCACTGTACAGACCTCAAGTTTATGAAATGACAGCCTCTTTGAGGAAGGTATTTAATAATGTCAATGTATATCAGCTTCATCCAGCCATTTTCCCAGATATCACGGGGACGTCGACCCCAAGCCACGCCGGCAGCCTGTGTCGATAAGTCACGAACTGGGCAGCTTCGATAGCGTTGTACATGGTACGTATTCGTTATCCGCCAGACCGCGCCGTAGTGATAACCCTGCGTATGTGCCAATAAGGGCTGATCGTGGTGTTTATTACGTTCGTCCTGATTTCATGGCTCTACCCACCGTTCAGCTGATAAGTGGAAAACTAATCGTAGGTAATGTAATCTCAGTCGAAGCTCTTGCGCTGCTTCTTACACACCTTTTTTTTTTACTGCAGCACCACGCTTAACCGCAACAGGGTGGGTGTCCATTAACGGTTATCAACATAACAGTCGACGCTAGGACAGCAGTGTGCTTTGGGCGCATGCGCGTACTATCGCGGATATCGCCGCCTCTCGTCGTTATCGGGGGTTTGCCGTGGACGCGCGCGCGATGTTATCGAAAATGTGGAAGGCCGTGATTCGTTGCCGTAAAGTCCCAGTGCTTCTTGAAGACTCTGATTGTGCTAGGAAACGACGACAGCGATAAAAGCAGACAACTGTTTCAATGTGCTATGCTCAATATTGATTAATTAGTAATCATAAACTCTGTCATCAAAAGAGAAACACGTTACATAGGAAAACGATTATCTACGTAAACAAAAAAGTTCGTGCAATAGGCAGTTTACGTTAAATAGTGCCTATCTTTATATTATCAGCTGTTTCAGTAATGACGTAGGATAAAGTTAACGCAGGGTCAGATAGTTACTGTGTCTTTGTGGCGTGCACATTAGCACGTTCCATGCAACGTTAATGAGTCGTACAGCAACGCGGTTATCGGTTGATAGCGCATTCCGTGCTACTAATAGCGGAAGACATCGTAAGTGCGCTCACGTGGTCCGGCGTCGTTGTCGAAGCGAGCCTTTGGTTGGAACAGCTGCTTGAAGTGGATCTTGCAGTAGATTTCCGTCTCATGAGACATGTATCCGTCCACACTGCGCAGGAATGTGCTCAGTATAAACGCTAGTTACATAAGCCTATTCGCAGTTTTATGCAAACGTACAAACGTAAACTACTACTTCTACTACTACTACTACTACTTATAATAATAATAATAATAATAATAATAATAATAATAATAATAATAATAATAACAACAACCTTGTGTTGTAACAAAACAAATAACAGGTCTGTGAAAGCCAGACGGTGGCTTGGAGGACTTGGCCCGGCACATCGGCACACGAGAGATGACATATATATTGAAAAGCTTTTCATGTAAACAATCAGAGAAAGAATACATGTAACTCATTTACGCTACATATAAACACAAAAACAATCGGGAATCAAATTAGCGGAAGCAATACTACCTAAACAGCAGAAATGTGAAGAGAAGCACTGAAAAAATTTAAACAGATTATACCCAGTATGCAAGAAACTAGAGAAAAAAAATAATAATGCGACAACTGATTCAGAATTAAAGAGACCTTAGGCTCTTTAATGCTGCATCAGTTATCGCATAATTATTTTATAATAATAATAATAATAATAATAATAATAATAATAATAATAATAATAATAATAATAATAATAATAATAGCGTGTAAATCCCCAGAACCACCATATGGTTATGAGAGACGCCGTTGGGAAGGGCACCACCTTGGGTACCTTAAGGTGCACCTCAATCTGAGCACACGGGCCTCAAGCATTTTCGTCTCCATCGAAAATGCGGCCGCGATTTGATCCCGCGCCTTGGGGGGCCATCAACCGAGTGCCTTAGCCACTAGACCACCGTGGGAGTTACAAACATAGAACGGGCTTTCACGGAATCCGAAAAGAATATGATTCGGTACGTGGGCAAACGAACTTTAATTTCTGGGATTTAACGCGCCATAATCAGGATATGAGATGAGGGACGCCGAAGTGGAGGACTCCGGAAAGTTTGGCGTTTTTTTTTAACGAGCACCGACACCGCACAGTACGGGGGCCCGTAGCATTTCATCTCCATCGAAATCCGACCGCCGTAACGGGGATCGAACCCGTGACCTTCGGGTCACCAGCCGGGTGCCGTAGCCGCAACACGACCGCGGAAGACAACAACTCTTCAGCATTCCTGTTCAGTGGGATTTCTGACCTTAAACTCAATGTTTTGTCCAAACTAGCGTATATAAATACTAGTATCACTAAGAACACACCGTTGACGGCTTCAACCGCCTTCTCTTTGCGACAAGTTTATTTCCAATGATCTTTTCTGCGTCTCTTTCGTTGTGTTCGTTGTTTTGCTATGCTTAGTTTTAACCAACCTTGAATGAGCCAAACCTTGAATGTGCAACGTGAACCAAACAGGCAAATAAGGAAAGTTCCACACTCGCCGTCATGACTGTTGGCGGCGCTGACTGGCGTTCCCATAAACAGAGTGTCCCACGTAACTTTAGCCAAAGTTTAAAAGTATGCCAGAACACGTAATCACGACGCGACCAAATGCATGTTCCTCACCGTCGCCTGGAGTCAGTCAGACTATATTTTCTGTTCTCAAATATTGTTTAATTAGATATGTTTAATTAACTAAATTTTCAAGAAACGAAGGTAGAGAAAAAATTTCAATGAGACAGTTGGTTTGCAAAACGTCCGATTTGACAGCTTTGAACTTTATATCTGTTAGGTAATAGTGTTTTTCTGCTAATTACAAATGCCCGCGAAATACAAAAAAACACCACGTGACAAACCAGCTCGTGCGCCAGTGCGCGCAATATTTCTAGTCTCCCTGTCGTTCCGCGTACGAACGACCATAGAATTTGCCCCATTGCGCTGTGTCGGCAGGAACGCAACGATAATGGGGGCTTTACGATGAACACGTTTTGCTATCGGCCACAAATACGATAACCGCTGTGATTGCTTATCGTTGTCATGAACCGGTGCGGGGGAAGCGTGACGGTACATGTTCAAACAAATATTAGAACTGGATCGTGTTTTATAATGCAATTATTTCGTTAGTTTGATTCAACAGGACCCGTATTCATACAAACTCCGTACGTTATCAGGCGATCGTGTTTCTCCGCATGATTATGGAAACCCAACTGTCCCAAGCGACTTCCCTTCTAGACGAATGAACACTTACAAACGAAAAAAAAAGGAAGGGGGTATTCAAATTTGGCTGTTCAATATTACTGACCTGAACTGCGACATAATTTATCACTTTTGAAGAAAGCTTCAACTCGAATTTTCCGCAATTGAAATGACGCGCAGAATTATGTTGCCATTCCAGCTGCTTTCTACACAACATAAAGGCAGCATAAATGATCGAGTGAATCTTTCAGGGGAAATTGAGCATTCAGTGAACTTTCCATTGTCTAAACAAGTTCTTTATTCATTTGTTGATTTTAGTGTCACAGTTTATTCAAGTACCTCTTCAACCTCGCCGCAGAATAGAAACAGCTTCGCCATCTAGTGGCGGTCTGAAATAATACTCTGTGCCCCTGAATGGTTGACTTCACGGCATAGTGAAAATGCTTTGCGGAAAAGTTTACGTCACGCGGAAACATTGGTATGGTGGACATTCGTATACCTCGTTCAAGTAATAGTTTTTTAACGAAGAAGTCATTTTATACTACAATCGTATACCGTGTTCAATTAAACTATTTGCGACTAAAATGAAGAGTTAGGATCTAAATACTTCACAAAGAGCTATGCTGATTCAGGAGCTCACATGTGCTACAACTCATATGTGCTGAACAGAGTGTTCCGCACTGCTGTCATGGCGTCTAGCGGTGATTTGAGCTCATTTAAGTTCAACTTGGCCTAACGCGACAGAGGCAAGCTGAGCTGAAGAAATTTAATTTAGTGAGCTCGGCTTCATCAGGTATCACGATGTTGGCTACGTTTAGTTATGAATCAACCGGCATAAATAACTACGCGACCCCGGCGCTGGAACCGGCACCCTCGCAGCCTCTACGTTATAATGAAAAAGAACAGCACAACTTCGATAGGGCGAAGACAGCGACACCCAGATGTCGTTTTGGTTACTACCTCGTTGGAGAGCGTGACATGTGGACCAACTGATACGACGGGACGCGCATGCGCACCGCAGCAGGCGCCTCGTCGCTAGATAGCGCTTAGATGCCTTCGGCCACGTGATCCCGTGGTCTTCACAATAATGATTGATTGATTTGTGGGGTTTGACGTCCCAAAACCAACATATGATCATGAGAGACGCCGTGGTGGAGGGCTCCGGAAATTTCCACCACCTGGGGTTCTTTAACGTGCACCCAAATCTGAGCACACGGGACTACAACATTTCCGCCTCCATCGGAAATGCAGCTGCTGCAGTCGGGATTCGATCCCGCGACCTGCGGCTGAGCAGCCGAGTACCTTAGCCACTAGACCACCGCGGCGGGGCGTCTGCCCACTAATGCTCACCCCTGTACATCAAGCGAGTTCGGGCACACGCTAATCTTTCTGGTCTTCGCGCAGACTTTTGTTAATTTAGAGCCACGCTTACACACTCTAGTATATCAACCTATAACTATACATCTTTGACTATGTTTACTTTCGGCCACATTCATGATTAGTGAAGGACAGAGGAGATATATTTAAAGCAAATCATATATTTGCACTTTCGCTTTCTTTGACCTTTTACCCGAAGGAATATAATGTCTACGTGATCGTAAGTTTGTCTACACTTAACTCTTAAAAAATGTAAAAAAGTTTTGTTGTTATTTTGTGCGTTTTATATTAATATTAAGATGGTCACCGTTATTATTATTATTATTATTATTATTATTATTATTATTATTATTATTATTATTATTATTATTATTATTATTATTATTATTAAAATCTAAATTATAAAAATATAGGGGTAAGGAGCCCTGGATCACAGTATTATTAAGAGGCACAACGTAGCAGGAAAATTAGCCGCTAAGTGCAATTAGTTTTTTTTTTTAATCTTTGAGCTATTCCCACGTCGAAAAGCAGCTACGTCATCCGAGATTCGAACATGCGAGTTGCACTGTAAAAGCAAGGATTAGGATCGGTTCCAATGATATATAACGTCTTTTCTTTTATCCGCGACGTTAAATGGGCCTTGCAACACTTTTTAAGCACGGTCAGAAAACGCTGCCGATTGGTAGTAGAGGCTCCCGACAGCACGCGCGCCAAATATAGCGCAGAACGTGCCTGGAATTCACAATAAACGATCAAAGTCAGCTTAAAATTGCTTTTTCTTCTCTCGACAAATCGCGCAATATGCCCAAAAAAATCACACGTAGTAAGCCCATTCATCAGCCATTGGCTGATTTGAATATGGCGCGCTCGCTCGTAACAGAGATCGCCGCGGCAGGCCGCTACTTGTCCACGCGTGCGCACGCGATCATACTGAAAAAGCCGCGCATTCAAAAAAAAAGAAAGAAAAAAAGTGCTCAAGGTCATGAGGCGCGCGTGATGGTTTTCTGTGGCCCTGCCATCCCTCCCTGCTTAGCTTCCAGCGCTTTCGTCGGGACAGGAGAAGAGATAATGCAATTGCAGCAAGCGACAAACCTTGATTGATTTGTGGGGTTTAACGTCCCGAAACCACGCTATGATTATGAGAGACGTCGTATTGGAGGGCTCCGGAAATTTAGACCACCTGGGGTTCTTTAACGTGCACCCAAATCTGAGCACACGGGCCTACAACATTTCCGCCTCCATCGGAAATGCAGCCGCCGCAGCCAAGCGACAAACCTTTGTAACTCCACTCGCACTGAATGGATTATAGAAATTTTTGCGGCGCGTAATTCGTGAGGCGTTAAGCTCTTCCAGTGAATTCATTCCATGTTTATTTGAAAAAGTATTTCAGGGCCCGTTTAAATCTACACTTGGCTGTTCTTTTATATTTATGCACTTTTCCCTCTTCTCTTGATAATCCCTACTGAAACGTTCCGTATGCGAGTCCAATAATTCCATATGTTTCCATAAAGAATACATTTGTTTCCCATATATTTTCCATATATTTCCGTAAGATTCTTACGGAAACATACGGAATTATTGGACATCGCATACGGAATGCTTCAGTAGGGATACTTATGCTAATAGAGTAAAAGTTAATGAAGCGAAGGTAAAGTGAAGCACTCACGAGAGCAGCTTGTTGCATTCCTTGCACCGGAAGCAGTTCTTGTGGTAGAAGTTCTTCTCGGCGATGATGCGCTCCACGGGATACACGTGGGTGCCGCACTTGCGGCAGAAGCACTTGCTCTCGTCGATCTTGATCTGCACGAAGAAGCACGAACCATGGATGCATGCATGGGCGCCAGAAATAATTCTATTGAGAAAACAGTAAAATTGGTAGAAACCTCCAACGTCTGACTGAGGTCGTATGAGCTTGTCTGCAGGACCTTCAGCAAGAACAACCATTTCAGAAGTTTTACGTGCCAGAGAGAGAGAGAGAGAGATAAATAGAGAGGAAACGCAGGGAGGTTAACCAAGCTTGGCTCGGTTGGCCAGCCTACACTTGGGGTGGGGGACAGGGAGAATAATAGAAAAGAAAAAGATAGAAAAGAAGAGGAGTAAGAAAGAGAAGGATTAATAGTCAGCTCGAGACTACACAGCGCGGTCGCACACTGTTCTTTCACAAGCAATCGTGAAATCTGGTGGTACTTAAAAAGTAAAAAAGGGCTTTCGTAGCTTTGCGTGTATGGGAAGCCGTCGGCCAAGGTCCCAGGATCTTCTCTTCTGTAAGCGGCCGTTAATCCAGCTGAGAGAGCTTGGCTTCCATAATGCGTCGTTCAGACTGCGGTATGCTGGGCAATGGCATAGAATGTGCTCAAGCGTTTCCTCGCAGGCGCAGATGTTGCATGCCGAAGTGCTCGCCATTCCGAGGAGACGAGAGTACGCATTGCCAGAAGCACGATTTGATTAAGAGGCATGGTGTAGCGAGGGGCTCCGAAATAAATGAGTACTGACACGAGTTGATAAAATTTTCGCGTTGTTACTATAAGAAAAAACCTTTGGTGTCGAAAAACCTAAACCGAGTATTGTAGTGTCTGCAAATGCAAGGAAAGTATATATATATATATATATATATATATATATATATATATATATATATATATATATATATATATATATATATATATATATATATATATATATATATATATATATATATATATATGTATATATATATATATATATATATATATATATATATATATATATGTGTGTGTGTGTGTGTGTGTGTGTGTGTGTGTGTGTGCTACAACTAATTTAAACGACACTTTCAATTTCGATATCGAGAGGGTGGCTTCTCAGTGAGGTTTTGCGGCAATTCTGTCATCTGCTGGGTAAACAAAAATAGTCGTCCAGCGGCCCTGACATTGATTTCTGCCAGGCTGCACGCAAGACGCAGAACTCGCAAACTCAGGGAAACTGTTGACTCGTCCGGACCATGCTCATTACGGTGGCTTGCAGATGTTCAGTGACGAAAACTAATATAGTCACGTTCTAGTATTTTGTACGCGGTGTCTGACTTCGATGTGTGGAGAGCGTTGACATAGAATACAAAGGAAACGACAATTATAAATGTTCGTTTTGCGATGTCTCTAAATGGTGTGAGTACTCTTCTTTATAGCGACCAGACGAGTAGCCAGGGACTGGCACACACGGCCCGTGCCACCGCCCCCCCCCTCCCCCACCGATTTTTTTTTTCGCCATGGAAAACAGATAAAAAAAAGGACCACTTTGAATAGATGCCCCCTTCTCCCGCTCGAAAAAAAAAGTTCTGCCTACGACCCCCTCGTGTTCTGACACGTGCACCTTACTTCCTGTACGAGTCTTTGCTTTTCGCCCCCATCTAATTGCGGCATTTGTTGTCGGTAGCCGAAGACGCATATTGGTGCTTTGCGGTACAGCACATTAACCGCTAAGATGCCAGAACGATTATGACAGACGCTCAGCCGTGTTAAAGTAAGCCTATCACTGTGCTTCACGCAAGTGGTCAGAATTTCTAACTGTGCATTTTTACCATCAAAGCACCCGCAGCAACAACTCGTGCGTCACGCTGCCCTCTCGGGTCGTTATTTTCGAAAGATTAGGCATCAACACGAAACCCCGTAGAAAAGAAGCCAGCACAAGGGACGGCGTAAGTTGTGAAGAGCTGCTAAGAGCGGACATGTTGCAAGAGTACAGCCGCATAAACTGAAGCATGGACGGCAGCCAGGATTCACAACTAAATGTCTGGACGAGGTCCAACAAAAGGAATCCCGTGGTCCAAAGCGAACGGTGTTTCCGTCGAGGTGTCGCCAAAGGCCTACACAGCAGTTTTTAAACCCCAGCCTCGGGTAGCACGTTTCGGACCAGCGAGCAAGCGTGCCGCTGTCGAGACGCCGTCTCCTGCACGGTCTCTCGCGCAGTCATATTGGGGCGCTCTCTTTTCCAGAGATAACTCTGGGAAGGAATTAGGGCGAGCCGGAGTCTTCGAAAGACGAGGCTGCGCGAGGAGCAGATCGGAGCACCAAGTGATTCCCTGTGTCCCCAGAGCAGAGTTGCCAGACGTTCCCGAGCCTAAGAAGCAAATGATTGTCAATAAATAAGCCAAAAGGAAGCGGAAACTTAACGAACTTTCTCATTCGTGGAAATATTTTTTTAATTGTGTTAAAAAAATATGCGCAATTACGAGTGATATATATGTTTTCGCTCGTAATTGATACCCAACAAAATCCCGCACAAGCGCATTGTGGGCGAAACAAAAGACACTAATACAGTAGCGCGACTTCCGTTTCCGATAAGGCCATGTGCGTTAGCAACCCTTCTTTGGCCTTATCGGAAAAGGAAGTCGCGCTACTCATGGAAAGGGGGTAGACCGGAGGGGAGGGATGGTGCAGGAGGTGTGTTCTTGGTTTGTATTAGTGCCTTTTGTTTCGCTCTCGACGTGAATGTGTGGGATTTTGTTGAGAACCTTGTGTAAGTGTTACATATTTTCGGTTCAAGCTTTAAATTTTTCAGTGTTTTTTCGCGCTACATTTACGTTGTTATAAATCAGTACCGACCCGCTCGCCTCTCCGTTTTGATAAGACGCTGTCTACAACGAACGATCGCTGCTCGGTAACGCCGTTCCCTTAACCTGCGCTATCACGTTAACGGTAAACGATAGCTGCCTAATACTGCCAGGGAAAGTGTAGGGGATGGTGTATGAGATAACTGTAATGTTAGTGCAAAGAAAGAAAAGTGAATGAAAAGATAACTTGCCACCGGCAGGACCCGAACCTGCGACCTTCGATTAACGCGTCCGACACTCGCCGCAATGGCAACAGGTGGCGCTGACTGAGGTTGCCACGTAGGGTGCCTGAATGGTTTCCCTCGCCCGCCGCAAGGAGCGGCGGGCGAGGGAAACCATTCAGGCACCCTATTGCCACGGCTAGGAAATGCGCATACAAAGCTGACGGAGGGATGGCCGCCACCATTGCTCATGTGGCAGAGCATCGGACGCGTTATTAGAAGGTCGCAAGTTCGGATTCTGCTGGTGGCAAGTTATCTTTCGGTCTACTTTTCTTTCTTCGCATTTACAATTGCTTCTAATACGGTCCCTTATACTTTTCTTGGCATTATTATATGTTTGTTCTCATTAATAATGTGTCTTACAAAAATGCCTTGGTTGTATGTTAGCGTTTGGTCCGTCTCTGTCATTGTCCAGTGCTTCGCGTTGTTTCCAGTTTCCTTAAACATGTAGAACCAACCGGCTCAAATTGACACTCTAGTGGCACCTCTGCCCTCCATAGAGTCGGCCGTGCTGTAGTAAGAGACTCCGTCGTTTGACATGGGCCTGCCTCTTCACAAAGACCCGCGAATGCGCCATTATCAACGTACTCGCCTGACGGACGACGGTTCAAGGGCACCCGACGCGCAGAAAACAGATCAGTGGTGAACGGTCACGTCAGGGACGGTTCTTGCGAAACGAAATTCGATGCAAAGAGGACGTTTGGTGCGAGGGTAGAGGATGCAGTGCCAGACCAGCTTGCAACACAAGGGGGCATGCGCGGCGCGCCTTGCGAGCGTACACGGCTCACAATTTACGCGCTTACGCGAGATAAAAACAAACAGACACGTGTTCGACACTCACAGACCTACGCATATATCATTTCAACTCCTCTTTCTGTTTTGCGTATGCAGCCCCGCCGCGGTGGTCTAGTGGCTAAGGTACTCGGCTGCTGACCCGCAGGTCGCGGGTTCGAATCCCGGCTGCGGCGGCTGTATTTCCGATGGAGGCGGAAATGTTGTAGGCCCGTGTACTCAGATTTGGGTGCACGTTAAAGAACCCCAGGTGGTCGAAATTTCCGGAGCCCTCCACTACGGCGTCTCTCATAACCATCAGTGGTTTTGGGACGTTAAACCCCACATATCAATCTGTTTTGCGTATGCAGTAGTGTCGCTTGCTATAAAAAAAAGCTTGCTGTTGTCTTCACAGTAATTGAGTGAGTTCCAAAAGCACGATATGATTATGAGAGAAGTCGTAGGGGAGGGCTCGGGAAATTCAGACCACCTGGTGTTCCTTAACGTGCGCCCAAATCGAAGGACATAGGCCTCCAGCATATTCGCCTCCACTGAAATGCGGCCGCCGTGGCCTCGATTCGTTACTGCCCCCTGCGGTTCAGCTGTCGAGCACCAACTAGTTCATGCAGCGTGGCGGGTGGTGTTCTCTTCAACGCACAGTCTCAATTGTAAGGGGAAATTCCGAGATCGTTCATGTCGAAAGACCCCATCTGGCAATATGTGGGAGCTATATGAATTTTGGCATATCCCACGCATTGTGATAATCGATTTCATGCGAAAGAGTGAGAAGCAACAGCCTATGCCGCATTTTTTTTTTACTTTCTCCCAAGCGTTGCTAGGTCGGTTAACGTCGTTCCCTGAACTGAGTAGTTGTGTGTATATCATGCTATTTTGCCAGGCATGTCAACTATAGATCGGCGTGCACAGGTCATGGACCGCCTCAACATTGTCACTTACGTTATATAAGTGACGTTTTGGAAGGGGGAAAGGGAGAAATACGCGCAGTTTTGTTACTGCCTCTCTCTCAATGGAGGGCACCTCCACAGTTCTGCGCAGAGGATGGGGGTAAGGAGGGATTAAAAAAGATTGGGAGGAATGAAAGGTATAGAGATAGAGAGAGTAACAGCAAGAGAGAGAGAGGCGCAGAGACAGCCACGTACGGAAGTAAAGAGAAGATAAGAAAGATGGACATGGTCGCAGAAGTCCGAGGACGGGACACCACT